TCTTCTTTTATGAAACTGAAAATGGGGATTTGGTTTTAGTTGAGACTTTTTCCATATCCTCCACACACAGGTAGAATGTTAAACATTACTAAGTTCTTTGTTAAATTACAAATCAATTGCCTGTCTGTACAGCTGAACAAGGAATGTTCCAAAGGCCTTCAGTTTTGACTTGAGCTTATTGTAATTTTCTGAGGATGATGCAAGCTTTTACACAAAGGGCCCAAATTGGGAGCCATTTTGTTGAGGAAACTGGAAACCCTCACCCTTTTAAAAACTAAATTATGCTGACTAATTTCATATTATTTCTTAAATTTAAGATTACATTTTCTGCCTCCCTCAGACTAATGTCACTTCTCCATGTTGAGAACAAGAGCGGCATTTGGCATTTGTTTATCCCAAACCCAAATCGCTGACCCTTTGTTTTTAATACTTTGCCATTTTGCTTTCGCTTTTTAAATTTGCTTGTGACTCTCTGCTTCCCCCATCTTTTTTTTTTTGGTACAATGATTCTTACCTTGTCTTTCCCCAGTCCGTTTCTGACCTGGAGAGACGTGCAGCATGTTATTGTCAGGACTTCCCGTGCAGGACATTTGAACGCTAATGACTGGAAAACCAATGCTGCTGGTTTTAAGGGTGAGAACTTCTTTCATATTCTGTCACAGGCAAAATATTTTTATTTTTTCCCCCATTTTAAATGGAGAGCAGGAAGTAGAACCTCTCAAAAGAAACTTTAAATTTTGTGCTGACACACAAAGAGCTTGATCTTTTAGTAAATAAAAGGCAGATTCTTTTTTTTAATTAAAACAATACATATAAGGCAGATTTCCTTGGCTTCCCACATCATGTCAGTTTAACAACAACCAACTTCCAAGTATAGTCGACCTATGGGGCTCCTAATAAGTTTATTTGCTATCATTGATTATCTGAGTGCTGTTTGTAACAATGTATTTAAAACTTTCTCATCTTCTGTAGTGATTATCTTTACTTAAATAATACCTGTTTATTGTTCACTTGGGTTTACCGCTGTTAGTTTCCAGGCCATGCTTTCTGTACATTTTGTTTTTTTTATTAAACTTCCACAAGTAGAAAAACAGGCATACTTTTAAGACATTACTTTATATAAACTAAAAGTTCTTGTGAAGCTTTATAATGTGCAGTCTTTATGAAATTGTGCATAGTATTTAAGTGCTGACTATTTTTCCCATGATTGATAGAGATTATAGTTTCCTCAAAGTGTCTTACTAACTGTAGCCATTTTGTTTGTTGTCATTCATAACATATGTTATAATAAAAAGAAAATAATTATATAAAACAGATGTCCTAAAGTTTAGTATATTTACTCAGGTTTCAGATGACCTAAATTTTTATTCATTAATTTAAGTTACAACAAAAATTCCCTACTGTCATATCTGCAGACTTAAATTTATTCCCAAATAATCTTAGTATCATTATATATTTCTATGAATGAAAAATGACATCTCATAGCATAGAGAATATCTACTTAAAAATTGAGGTTCTGGTCTTCAGATCATTGGTTACATGATGAATAATCCTGGGCAAATCATTTAATTTTTCTGGGCCTCAACTTAAACATTTTAGATGCTGAATAATATTATCTACATATGATATCTTACAGATGATTTTAATATATCTTTAGCAAATTATACCGAATGTATGCAGATATTCATGCTGGGAATATAAAATGTAATTTAAAAAATTATTTGCAAAAACCTTATTATAGTCTCCTGCTTAACAAAACCCTATAAATACACCAGGTAACCAGCACCACATAAAATAGTTTTTGATTAACATCTTCACCAAAAGAATTCCCTCCATTTTTAGAACAATATTCCTCTGATTTTGAGTATTATCAAATTCCTTTCCATGCTCATAAATTATATAACACAACAATGTTCAGTGAACTTTTAATCTAAAGAGTTGCAAATATTTGTTAAGATCACATTTTCTGAAGCCCAAATCAAGACGCTTGATCCCAAAATAGCAATTGTTACGTGTGGCACCAAAAATATATTTGAAATTTCAGTTGTTCTAGGATATCCAGAATGTAATTTGCTGTATGTATGTTTCAGTTTGATTAGCTTCCACGTGCTCCCAGCTCCCCCTATATAAATCCATGAGGCTGGAGGGTGGGGCTTGGGGGAAAGAAGGGACCAAAACATAACCTTGGCTGGTTCAACGCTGCAATGAACTTCTTAGCAGACGGTTCACAGACTAAGGATTATACATTGACCTCAATGAGGCTGAGGAATCAACTTTAGACCAAATAAAAGTCTTAGTTTTACTTATTCCTTTCTGGCAACTTAGAAAGAGCAAATGGTTCTAATAAAAAACGCAGCTCTTCTGAAATCCTCTGTTGGTTTTGGAGACGGGGAAACAGAGGATTTCGACTAAGTCGCCAGATCCAAAACTGATTCTGAAGGGGGCTGCACACTGCTTCTGGCAAGGAGGAAAGAGCATTTTACTATTGCACGTGGCAATATTTAGTATAATATTTCACTCTTCTCTTAGATGGCTGCCAAGAGTAACAATTAAAGTTCGCTTTTTCATAGATGAATTACCCTGAACAGTTTGGACTCCCAGTGGAATTGTTTTGTAATTTTGTTGATGGCAAGCCCCATATTTTATCTAAACATGATCATAATAAGAAGAATTTTTTTTAAAAAAATGAAATTTTCTTTCCTCCTCTAAGCATTACCATTCCCTCCCCAGTGTCCCACAAATAAAAGCGATTAAGGCAAAGGCTAGCAGTAGAAGCAACGTGCTTTGGGGAAGGAGAGAATGCAGGTCACTGGGACTGAAGAAAGATGGGCTTTTATGAAATAAGAACTGAACGAACAAAAAATAGCGAATTCTTGGAAGAGGTTCATGCAATGATTGCTCAGCAAGAGCTCATATTTTAAATTAGTGCACCCGGCTTTTGCAGGCCTTCCTTAGCAGGAACACATAGCCACACATTTCTCCTTAGAAGACTACAGAAGTTGCCTGCAAACAGAAGCATGGAGCCACGGGTGCTCCCCCTCTTCCCATGCAACTTGATTCTAATGCTGAGTGGGGATGAATGCATGAAATGGAAACGAAAACACCTGTGCTTCCCTGGGCTTGCTTTTGTGCTCTAATGTTGAGCAATTTAACTTGTTTGAAGAGTGTTTTAGTTAAAAAGAGAAAAATGAGAATAATTTCACAAATTGCTTGGTAGGTACTCTTCTGTAATGGGAATGTCAGGATCATCATCAGGATTTCCTTCTCATCAGGTAAAGCAGAAGCAGCTCAGAGTAGCAACCTCAGGTTTGGGGTCCTGCCACCCATAGCCTTAACAGCCTTGGTTATCACTGATAACTTCAGAGAAGATAACATCCTAAAGAACAGTCTCTCACCAAACCCTGCCAAATCCATTTCACACAAAGTTCTTAACATTTCTTCAGACATACCTATATTTAGTACCTCCTAGTCAGAGAACATAGCCAGGTGATCTAGATTGGTGCGGGCCTCTCCGCAAGGCAGACTTGCTCCACTCTTACCCACATGTGTTATGGACGTGGGAAACAGAAGTGATTCCCTCCAGAAGCAGCTGCTGGCTTCCTGTCGATAAGCATGGACAGGTTTCCATTCAGGCTAGGAGGTTGGCCTTGAAAAAGGGGGGAGTGTGGCTCTACAGATTCATCTATGTCTTTCTCTGAGAGTGAGATTACCTTGGAGTTACATACGATGAGCTGGGTGCAGAGAACTCCCTTCTTTCTCTGAGCTCTTGTTACAGCAGCACTGTAACAATGATCCTATAGTGAGATTAGTTCACAGTGAAGGGAGCCCCAAAGATGAAAGCCATTTTTCCACGTTTTTGTGCTAATGGTACCTTAATGTCTAACAATTTTAATTGAACTAAGACTATTCTATCCTGCTGCTTCTTAAATAATAATAATCATCCGTTATAGTTAAGATGTCTTTTGAGGATTTGTTTTTCAAAATAAGCATAGATCAATGAATACATACATATGGAAACTGACTAAACATTATTTTGGTTGTTCATGTTGTGAATAACCCTATCTAAATTTCAGACACCTTTTGACTTTAAAACTTCCTCCAGAAGTAGTTTCTTTAAAAATAAATGGAATAAACATCACCCACCTGTCAAATAATCTAATTGAGATTTTGCATGAGAATAAGAAAGTATTTGTATGAGACCAGATGAACAGATGTGATAGTTGCCACTAGAGAACAAAAATGCAAATTCCAATATTTTGCTACTGACCAACATCTGCATTGCCAGGAGATAATTTGGCATTAAATTGTTTGTTTTTTTGGGGTATTTTTTAGTATTATTTCTTTCTTCTTTGATCCCTTCCCTTTCCTTTTATGAAAAGTCTTTTCTGTTTATTTCTTTTCTCTTTTTTTGAATACTCCCTCGTGCTCCTTAAAAATGTACAGATCAGCTGTAGAAGCGAGGGCTTTTGTCATCTGGGTGGTTATCTTCATGAAATTTAATTTATGTGGTGTCTTCATTTGCTCCCAAATATTTCCTGAGCACCTTCAGCATGCCAACCCAACACATGTTGAAATGCACCCAAAAAGTGGCAGGAAATGTCAGAGGCCCCATTGCATTGCCTGATCTGATCTGGCCAAGATGTGATTGACATATAGAAACAGAAATTTACACTGCACTTTATTTCCCCTTCAGTCAAGCCCAAATGATCTGCCAAGTCATGTTAATAAGTGTCGCTGATAGTTTTCTCATCATGTAAAATGCAACCTAACCTCAGAAGGCACCTAACATAGAGACTATCTATGGTGGCGTGTAATGTGCATTTTGACGAGCTCTATTTGTGTATATTGGATATGTGGACCATAGAGCCATGCTGAGGACTTTAATTCTGAATTCTTCTGGAATCCACGGCTGGTATCATTTCAGGAAGAATTTAGCTCTTTGTTGTAATATCCTCCCTACTTTCTCCTGTTTTAACCTGAGGCATCTGCCAATCCACCCCCTCCCTCTCCCCCAAGTGCCTGGGCTGTATGGGCTGACTTTTTCCTCCAACTCCTTAACTCTGGTTTAACGGGTACAGTTATAATTATAATTTAATGCATGCAACATCGGTGCTTTAGTTTTTTTTTTTCAAAGTGTCTGTATTTGGATTATATGACTGTATACAGTTAAACTCTCTTAAATCTAAGAACAGGAATAGACGTCAGATAATAAATTAGGACCTTCTGTCATCTTTACTAGGCGAAAGAATGAAAAAAATGTCATTGAAAATCAAAAATGACAACTAAGTGAGCGAGGTTACCACGCCTTCCATTTCACTGCCCTCCCAGACTATGTAAGTCTCTTTTTTTCTACCAGCATGTCGCTGAAACCTCCCCATCCCCACTCACTCTTTCTTTGACCACAACTAAACTACTACATTTTTTTTTTAATTTCTAACTGATTTCCCACCATGGGGAAAACAATTGACAGTCTAACATGACTTCTCAGCCTCCAAAGTCTTAACTTTTAATAACCTTTATTACTTTTAATTGCCATCATTTTATTTCCACTGGTAGGGCTGGTAATTTTAAGATGTTCCAATATATTTTTAATATCTACTTGTCTTGCTTTCAGTTTGTAACATTTATTTAAA